TGTAGCCTGGCCACCCCTCCGATCTCTGGGGATGTTGTGTGGCTGGATGCGATGTCAGGGCATCAGCAGACATCCTGGAAACCCATCTATAGTACCCTGGAGTTTGCATAATCGCTGAAGTCCCCTCTTGCTTTTCGGAGGGACGTGACAGTGATGTATCTTGTGCTGTCATTTCTGCCCCTCTCTTTTCCTCCTTCCAGCCCGGACTGAAGGGCCTGTGGGAGGGGCCAGCTGGGGGGAAGGACGGAGCGCCTGGGCCGTGGGTCTGATCCAGCAGGGATGCTGTTGTGTTTCTGAACTCCAGACGTCACAGAGCACATTTCAGTTCTCACAGAAATTTCAGTGGGTCAGCAGCATTTAGAAGCCCAAAGGCTCATGGGTATCTGGTATTTCTCTTCCCCCTCTCCCACAGTTTACTAAAAACCCTTACAAATTGTGTCGGGTGTGCCTGTGGCAAGGTTTCACAGCCCTGGGAAGGAGGGTGCACGAAGCAGGATTCAAACAAGCAAACGAACGAGGGAGTCTAGGCTAACAATCGTTCTTCCTTCTTTGTCTCCCTCTCAGGCTGTGGACAGGTGGTGTTCAGCCCTCGTCTTGGCAGAGGAGGGGAAACGGCCGCTGCACCTCCAGTCCAGGTAGAGGAGATGAGTGGGGAGGGTCTGGTCCCCACCCCCCTTTCACAGAGGGGCTTTTGCTCCTGCAGTTGCTGCTAAGGTGCCGGAGGGAACGAGGCTCTGAATGCCACTCCCTTGGCCCATGCCAAGCTCCAGATCTTGTGCCCTCCAGATCCCTCAATGCCCCTTTCCAGTGTGCATTCTCTGCCTGGCATGATCTCTGAGGAGGGAATCTGCTTTTTCTTTCAGCGTCCCTTTTCCTTTGAAGAGGTGGCCGTGCATTTCACCGAGGCTGAGTGGGCATTGCTGGATCCGGGCCAAAGAGCTCTCTACAGGGAAGTCATGCTGGAGAACTATGGGAACATGGTCTTTTTGGGTAAGGATCTTTCATGCCTTTGGGGTGAGGCCTGACTCAAAATATTGAACATGAATACATCAGTTTCAGGCCTGCCGCACGACTTGTCCCCTGCTGCGGGTCTTGAGGAGTCGGGGTGGCGTTGAAAGTGATATTCAACATGGTCTGGGACTCGGAGAGTGGCCCGAGCTGCCTGACTAACCCAGAGGCGACTGTGGCCAGTGTTGTGGCCATCACCTGAGCCAGAAAGGGCGTCCTGGCCTGGAGCCAAGGAGGGGCTGAGAGACCCTCAGAAAGGGATCTGTTACCCAAATCACTCATGCATGTCTACCTCTGTAGCTGGCAAAAGGGTCCTGCCAGCAAAGAGAAAACATGTGTATTGTGGGGTATTCGTTCCTGAGATCGTAAACCTGTGTCTGCCAGCACTGAGAGGCAGACCAACGCTCAAAAGAAATGAAGGGTATCAGCATCTTAAACAAGAAAATAAATGTATTAATAGAAAGAGAGCCCGGTTAGGTCGGGTAAATTAAAACAGAGGTGCTACAGAAAGGAAATAAATGCACATGTGAAGTACAAACACAATTTAAACTTTTTCCCTCACAAACGTCCTGCTACTAAGGGAGAAAATAAAGGGGAAGAATCAAAGAGTTACAAGCCTGCTTCCTGAAGACAGCTGGGCAGCTCTGGAGAACCACAGCAGAGTAGGATGGAACAGTAGAGAAGCCAAGCATACAATTGGGGTAACAGGCTGGGATGCAAAATGTGCTGCAAACTGGATGGACTGAGGGATAACTTTGTATACATTTCTGCTAAGATGAAGATGGAAAGAACTCACAGATGTAATTTCTGAGCTTCTGTCCATCATTTTTGAGGATTCTTGGAGAACAGGTGAGTTGCCAGAAGTTTGGAGGACGGGAAATGTTGTCCCCATCTTCAAGAAGGGGGAAAAGATGGATCAGGTAACTACCGACCCGTCAGCTTGGTGTCTATACCTGGGAAATTTTTAGAACAAATCATCAAACAGACAGTCCTTGAGCATTTAGAAAAGATGGCTGTGATTACTAAGGGCCAGCATGGGTTTTTCAAGAACAAGTCATGTCAGACTAGCCTTATCTCTTTTTTTTGAGAAAGTTACTACCTTGCTGGATCAGGGGAATACTGTGGACATAGTTTATCTTGATTTCAGTAAGGCTTTTGATAAGGTTCCACATAATATTCTTGTTGACAAATTGGTAAAGTGTGGTTTGGATCCTATGACTGTTAGGTGGATCTGTAACTGATTGACAGATCGCACCAAAAGAGTGCTTGTGAATGGTTCCGCATCCTCTTGGAGAGAAGTGACAAGTGGAGTGCCTCTAGGATCTGTCCTGGGACCTGTTTTGTTCAACATCTTTATCAATGATATGATAACCATCTTCAAGTAGAGCTGTCATATAGAGGATGGAACGGAGTTGTTTTCTGTTGCCCAGCATGTCAGACCAGAACCAACAGGTTGAAATTAAATCAGAAGTTTTCGGCTAAACGTTAGGAAGAACTTCCTGACAGTTAGAGCAGTTCCTCAGTGGAACAGGCTTCCTCGGGAGGTAGTGGGGGTTTGGAGGTTTTAAAACAGAAGCTAGATGGCCATCAGACAGCAATGCTGATTCTGTGAACTTAGGCAGATCATGAGAGGGAGGGCAGGAATGGTTGCATCAGTGCTTAGTTCTTGTGGGCCTTTCTTACACACCCAGGGAAATGCTGATCACCACTTTGGGGTCAGGAAGCAATTTTTCTCCTGGCCAGTTTGGCTGGAGATCCTAGAGGTTTTTTGTCATCTTCTGGATGTGGAACAGGGGTCACTGGGGGTGTGGGGGGAGGTATTTGTGAATTTCCTGCATTGTGCAGGGGGTTGGACTAGATGACCCTGGAGGTCCCTTCCAACTCTATGATTCTGTGAAGGATATGGGAGTGATGAAAAATCCACCTCTCTGGAGATGAGCTAATTTCAAAAGGGTTTTTGTGTGCACTGTGGAGAGGAATTTTTCTTCTTTTGCATTACAGGTCAAGGTCTCAAGGAGAAGTGTTTCTTTAAGGAGACAGAGTATATGACTGAATGCACATGACGGAGTAGGGGGAAAAATCTTCCTGTCCAGCACTTAAGGAAGAAATGGCTGGGGCGGGCCCATCGCTCATTGTCTTGATTATTTGGGTTGTTATTCAGGCCAGATGATCATAGAGGGAACCCCTTAGGTCCTTGGGGAAAAGGCCCTTTGGTGGACTCCCACCCCATATGGCTTTTGCATGATTAGTGGAGGAGTTGCTTCACATTCCTTGCATGCTCTTGGCCTGACTCACTGTCATTGTTGATATCAGTTTGTTCCAGACTCCATTTTTCATTGCTAGGGCCCTGATAAGAATATGCAAGTGTACAGGGATCCAAAACGGAGGTCCCCATGTGAGGGGGACTCCTGTGGCACCAGGTCAGATCCTGATTTCTCAGTTGCCAGCCTTTACAAGAAGAAGAAGAAGAGAGAAGAGATTGGATTTATATCCCACCCTTCACTTGGAGTCTCAGAGCGGCTTCCAAACTCCTTTCCCTTCCCCACCCCACAACAGACACCCTGTGAGGTGGGTGGGGCTGAGAGAGCTCTGACACACACTGCTCTTTTTCAAGGACAGCTGTGCCAGAGCTTGTGACTGACCCAAGGTCACATCAGGAGGTGCAAGTGGAGGAGTGGGGACTCAAACCCGGTTCTCCCAGATTAGAGTCCGCACACTTAACCACTACACCAAACTGGCTACACAACACACCCTTCCCCCTGAATGGGATTGCGGCCATCCTATCTGACTGTGATCCGGTATGGATTCATCCCCCTTAAACTGGTTAGGATTGGGGGCTTTGATCTTGACCATGTTTCCATCCTTCCAGGATAATTTTTCCTCTTCCTTGGATTTCTTTCCTGTACAGGAATGGTCACTTACGTTCTCTGTCTGCCAAAGCCAGGAATGTAAGAGAGACTACTTAAGAACAGTCAGGCTGAATGAGGCAAAAGGGTCATCAATGATTCCCTTCAGTCATCACCTAGATGCCTTAATCCTCCCCAACCAAAAGCCATTGGGGGGGGGGGGTTTCATTGAACTGCGGGGTTCACTTGGTGAGGTCCTAGCATCTCCCTGCCCTGCAGCAAAGGTTTTTTGGGGGAAAGAAATTCTGCCCCCCCCCCAAAAAAGAACACTCATGAATGAGGAATGCCTAATTGCTGGCTTGGCTACTTGCACAGGCATTGATTGGACCTCCTTCTGTATTCCAGCAGCTGATGTAGAGGAGACACTTGGGGAATTCCAGGTGTTCTCTTTGGAAAAAGCCATGAATGAAAAGGCTGAGGAAAATTTCAGAGATGGACCACACAGGCAGGAGGGAAGCCACTTTTAATGTATATATTATTGTATATTTCAATGTACAACAGGAACACGGCCCTGAAAAGCTTTAAGCGTGGATGGAATTTCAAGTGCAAATCAGACCTCCTTCTGTGGGTACTAACAGGATCTCTCTCTTTATTACCAACAGGGGGTGATCAGGGGAACGAGGAAGATGAGGAACTGCATCATCTATTGCCAGATGAAGTCAAGAATGACAACTTGAGAGAAACCTTCAGGACTCAAGGCAGACCCAAGAGGCAGAAAGGAAGCCACACTGACAAGAAGAAGGATCAACACCTTCCTTTCCAAGCAGGGGATTTCCGTGAAGCAGTTCACATGGTGGAGGAAATGTACAAGTGCTTGGTGTGTGAAATGATCTTCTCAGATGAAGCCCAGTATAAGGTCCATTTGCAAATGCACAATGGAAAGAATTCCCATCAAGGCTTGGACTGTGGAAAGAGGTTCCTTTGCAGAACAGAGCTCCTTAAACATCAACAGACACATGCAAAAGGAAAACATTATACTTTCTCAGACAGTGGTGGGAGTGTCTTAGAGAAATCAGACCTTATTAAACACCAAAGCATTCATTCAGCAGAGAAGCCATTTATCTGTTCAGACAGTGGAATGACATTCTCTGATGGAAGACAGGGAAATCAACATTTTCCAAGGAACATTATAATGAAGGCATGTAAATGCTTTCAGTGTGGAAGGTACTTTAAATACAGATCACAGCTCCTTGTGCACCAAAGATTCCACACAGGGGAGAAACCTTTTGAATGCTCAGAATGTGGAAATAGATTCAGTCTGAGGGGCGGTCTCCTACTTCATCAAAGAACCCACACAGGGGAGAAACCTTTTGAATGCTCAGAATGTGGAAAGCGATTCAGTTGGAGCAGCACTCTTCACAGGCATTTAAGAATTCACACAGGGGAGAAACCATTTCAATGCTCAGAATGTGGAAAGAGATTCACTCAGAGAAGCAGTCTTCACAAGCATTTAAGAAGTCACACAGGGGAGAAACCTTTTGAGTGCTCAGAGTGTGGAAAGAGATATAGTGTGAGTAGTGATCTCCTACTCCATCAGAGAATCCACACAGGGGAGAAACCTTTTGAATGTTCGGAATGTGGAAAGAGATTCAATCACAGCAGCCATCTTCACAAGCATTTAAGAACTCACACCAAGGAGAAACCTTTTGAGTGCTCAGAGCATGAAAACAGATCCAGTCTGAGTGGTGATCTCCTACTGCATAAAAGAAATCACACAGGGGAGAAACCTTTTGAATGCCCAGAGTGTGGAAAGAGATTCAGTTGGAGTTGCCATCTTCAGAAGCATTTAAGAACTCACACAGGGGAGAAACCTTTTGAATGCTCGCAATGTGGAAAGAAGTTCAGTCAGAGTGGCCGTCTTCAACTGCATGAAAGAACCCACACAGGGGAGAAACCTTTTGAATGCTCAGAGTGTGGAAAGAGATTCCTTCGGAACAGCAGTCTTCACAGACATTTAAGAACTCACACAGGGGAGAAACCTTTTGAATGCTCAGAGTGTGGAAAGAGATTCCTTCGGAACAGCAGTCTTCACAGACATTTAAGAACTCACACCAAGGAGAAACCTTTTGAGTGCTCAGAGCATGAAAAGAGATTCAGTCTGAGTGGTGATCTACTGCATAAAAGAAATCACACAGGGGAGAAACCTTTTGAATGCCCAGAGTGTGGAAAGAGATTCAGTTGGAGTTGCCATCTTCAGAAGCATTTAAGAACTCACACAGGGGAGAAACCTTTTGAATGCTCAGTATGTGGAAAGAAGTTCAGTCAGAGTGGCACACTTCAACAGCACCAAAGAACCCACACAGGGGAGAAGCCTTTTGAATGCTCAGAATGTGGAAAGAAGTTCAGTCAGAGTGGTCATCTTTACAAGCATTTAAGAACTCACACAAGGGAGAAACCTTTTGAGTGCTCAGCATGAAAAGAGATTCAGTCAGAATGACAGTCTTCTAAAGCATTTGATAACTCACACAGAAGAGAAACTCTTGAATGCTCAGAGTCTGGAAAGGCCTTCAGCTGGAGCATCACCTTTCAACAACATGTAAGAACCCACAGCAAGGAAAAATCTTTTGAATGCAAAGAGTGTGAAAAGAAATTTGTTTAGAGCTGTGATAATCAAAAGCATCTATGAACTTACACAAGGGAGAATCCTTCTGAATGCTCAGTGTTTGAAAAGAGATTCAGTTAGTCTGGCCATCTTCAACATCATCAAAGAACCCACCCAATGAGAAACCATTTAACTGTGTATCTTGTGGCAACAGCTTTTCTCTTCTTTCACACATAAACAAGAACCATAGACCGTAGAAAGGGTTGAAACCATGTAAACTCTTGTAAAGTGCTTATATCTGCCCAGGATCGTGACCCTAATCTGGAAGAAATAATAGAAATATTTGGATTGAGGACCATACTGAAATAGATCTCACAGGCAAGAAAGAAAGGATGTGTTTTGAGGGTGGAAGGAGATTCAAAACCAGCCCATACCTCCTTAACCATTGGGGAATCCACACAGGGGATTAACCATGTCAATACTCACTGTGTAGCAAGAGTTTGAGGCAGAGATCCGGCTTTCCTGTTTGTTAGATAAACCAGACAAGGGCAAACCTTTCCTATAGTGGGTTCTGATGAGGCTCTTCTTTGAATGTTTAGGTGTTGGAGGCTCAGAAATGCTCCTAAAATACTTATGCAAAGAAGGGCCTTTTTAGTGGCTGCCCTCCTTCAGTCTATCTGCCAAGCTAACTCCTTCTGACATCTGCAAAACTGGCAAAAAGCATATCTGTTTTCCAAATCCTGTGATGAAATAGACGTCAAGGATAGCAGGTATCTGTGGATAGATTTCAGGGGGTCTGTGAACTTGGATGGGGGGGAAATTACATCTTTATTTCAGCATTTCCTTCAGTTGAGAGCCAGTTTGGTGTAGTGGTTAAGTGCACGGACTCTAATCTGGGCAAACTGGGTTTTGCTTCCCCACTCCTCCACATGCAGCTGCTGTATGACCTTGGGCAAGCCATAGTTCTGTCAGAGCTGTTCTTGAAAGAGCATTTCTTGAAAGAGCTCTCTCAGCCCCACCTACCTCACAGGGTGTGTGTTGGGGGGGGAAGGGAAAGGAGTTTGTAAGCCACTCTGAGATTCCCTTGGGTAGTGAAGGGCAGGGTATAAATCCAATCTCTTCCCTTCTTCTTATGAATGTAGGCAACAAGGGGCATGGCAACGCCGGGTAATATGGCGGTCGCTTAATCCTTTGTCTCCTCTTCCCTTCCTTCTCCTAGGCCCTCTAACAAACTAAAATATGCCATTTTCTTCCTGAAATATGGGCAAAAATAATAGAGTTTCTTCAAACTTACCAAAATCGTCTTCCCAGCCTGCTCAGGCATTTTTCAGTCCATGAGAGACCCAAAGGTGCTTGGCACCAAAAAGACCATAACAGCAGACAAGAACTCCATTTCGCACATTCTGGAGACAATGCTCAACAAGCAAGACTTACCAGACTTGCTCAAAAAAAATGGGCAGAGGGATCTGAGAACAGATGATGCAGATCATTCAAGCAGTAAAGAAACAACTTAATGAGATTCAAACCTCCCTCATGCAAACCTCCCACACTGCGGATACTCTGAATCCCGGGAGGGCCTTATAAAGTTCCTCATCAAAGGCTCCTACGTAAGCTCAAAAATTATGGGATAGAAGGACAAGTCCTTTTATGGATCAAAAACTGGCTAGTTCATAGAAAACAGAGAGTGAGTGTAGGTGGGCAATTTTCTCAGTGGAGGGTGGTAAGCAGTGGGGTACCGCAGGGATCAGTACTTGGTCCACTGCTTTTTAACTTGTTCATTAATGATTTGGAGATGGGAGTAAGCAGTGAAGTGGCTAAATTTGCGGATGATACAAAGTTGTTCAAGGTGGTGAAAACCAGTGAGGATTGTGAGGCACTCCAAAGGGATCTGTCAAGGATGGGCAAGTGGGCCTGAACTGGCAGAGACTGATCAAGAGAGAGATCTTGGAGTTGTAGTGGATAACTCACTGAAAATGTCGAGACAGTGTGTGACTGCAATAAAGAAGGCCAATGCTATGCTGGGGATTATTAGGAAGGGTATTGAAAACAGATCAGCCAATATAATAATGCCCCTATATAAATCAATGGTGAGACCTCATTTGGAATACTGTGTGCAGTTCTGGGCACCACACCTTAAAAAGGATATTATAGCTTTGGAAAAAGTGCAGAAAAGGGCAACTCGAATGATAAAAGGGTTGGAACACTTTCCCTATGAGGAAAGGTTAAAGCGCTTAGGGCTCTTTAGCTTGGAGAAAAGACGACTGAGGGGTGACATGATCGAGGTTTATAAGATTATGCATGGGAAAGAGCAGGTAGAGAAAGAGGTACTTTTCTCCCTTTCTCACAATACAAGAACTCGTGGGCACTCCATGAAACTGCAGAGCGGTCGGGTTAGAACGGATAAAAGGAAGTACTTCTTCACCCAAAGAGTGATTAACACATGGAATTCACTGCCACAGGAAGTGGTGGGTGCTACAAGCATGGACGGCTTCAAAAGGGAATTAGATAAGCATATGGAGCAGAGGTCCATCAGTGGCTATTAGCCACAAGGTATAGATAGGGACTCTGGGGCAAGTGATGCTCTGTCTTCTTGGTGCTTGGGGGGGGGGGGTCAACAGTGGGAGGGCTTCTAATGTCCTGGCCCCACTGCTGGACCTCCTGATGGCACTGGTATTTCTGGCCACTGTGTGACACAGAGTGTTGGACTGGATGGGCCTTTGGCCTGATCCAACATTATGTTCTTATGTTCTTAAGACAAGGTGCATGTTTTACAGTCCTCCGAAGCACAGTCTTATGATCACTTGCTTACTTACTCTCAAAGCCCAGGTTAGACAACTGAACCTGAAATTTAGGGGTCTACCGGAGGGAGTGGAGGAATCTGTGGTTCTGATGTGTTTTGTCTCCAACTGGCTGTCCTCCATTTTACAACTTGAACCAGGAGTAGCACTGGCCTTCTCAAAAGCATACTGGTTGGGTCTCCATATAAATCCAAGATGCAAGGGCCCAAGGGATCTTATAGTGCGGCTTATGGGAGACCTGAAAAACAAATACAAGACAAAGCAAAAATTAAAGGTCACCTTTTACTCAAAGACCTGCAAATCCTGGTCTTCCCCAATGTCCCACAGGAAGCCCTGCCTATTAGATATGTTCTGAAGCCTATTACAACATATGCTACAAATGGCTTCCTTTGGGGAAGCTCCAGAGTACTCATCAAGGTAACATTCTCCAAGCCACAGATGAGGACACCAGACTTGATTACTCCATGGGCTACAGATCTCAGATGAATCAGAGCAAAGCCATCCATCCCAGAAAACAGTTCCCAGCATACCCATGAGTTCTTGTACTGTGAGGAAGGGGAAAAAGTACCCGCTCTATCATGTGATCCCTCAGTCATCGTTTCTCCACCCTAAAGAGCTGCAAGCGCTTTAACCTTTCTTCTTTAACCCTTTTATCATTCTAGTTGCCCTTTTCTGCACTATCTTGGTCTCCTCTCCCGTCACCCACAAACTTCACAGCACAGTCAGAGATTTGAAAGTGGCTGTCCCGGGTCCTCTCCCCAGCTCCACCACACTGTCTCCCAAGCTCCACACCGGCCACCAGAGAAGAGGCTCCCAATGTGCTCAGTGGTCCAGAAAATGTAACCACCACAAAAAGCTAAGTTTAGTGGAGTGGATGAGGGAAGGCTTAGGAGAGAAAGCCCTACAGAAGGGTGGAAGAGGAGCCTGAGTAGAAGAAGGGGTTCAAAAGCCCTGCTTTCTATTGGGTGATGTGTGCCAGTCAGAATGGAGCTTGGTGCTGATTGGATGAAACGGAGCTTCCCAGACAGGATTGGGTGTTCTTTTGCCTTGGAAGCAAAATGGCAGGTGGAAAGGGGGAGAAAAGAGGGTGAATTTCCTTGAAGTTTTTGTTTTGTTTTAACTTGTCCTATTTTTATTGCACTTGGTGCCTTAACTGTTTTAATCCTGTTGTATTTTATTGCACAGTTGTGCCTATGTAAGCCGCCCTTAGCCAGCTTGCAGGGATGGCAGGGTATAAGTGAAATAAAATAAATAAATTGAAGATGGTCGGAATAAAATGGATGCCCAAGGAAAGTCAGAGTCCAAGGCTAGAAGGAGAGGATAAAGGGTGTCTGAAGCAGGGCAGGTTGCATTTGGTCTCTGTCGGCTTCTTTTCATCTGCAGACATCTATTGCACTTACCTTGAATTGTTATTAAATTCTCAAATAAAAATTATTTAAAAGGGGGGGGGGAGGGCCAATTTTTGGTTCTGTATTAAGATTTAGAAGTATAACCAGGGCAGTTCAGCACAGACACATAATGAGCTGCTTTCCACTGTGCTAAACTGCCCCTTAACAAATAATTTGGCCCCCTGTTGGAAAATTTCTGGCTATGGGCATGGTTGTGTTTGTGTGTCTGCGCACAGGAGAGACTTGGATCAGGTTTCCCAACAAGGTAGCACTCAAAGCAGGCGGGATTTGCTGAACTGGGAATATTTCTAACCAGTTTGATTCCCGAGGGTTCCCAGGTTCCCGTGGAGATTTTTGGGGAGGGTGAGTGATTTGTAATTTGGAGACAAATTTCCTGAAGGCCTACAGGAAGAGTCTCTTGAGGGGGGGCGGACTGCCAGGCAGATGTACCTCTCGCTGTTGGCCTGGTGGTGGCAGCAGAGAGTCAGCCCCAGACGTGCCGGGAAAGGGGGGCGTCGAACTGCAGACGGGGACTCGGTCGGGGAGGTGAGTGGGGTCTGAGTACTGGGTGGGGCCCCTTTAAGACCGACAAAAATGTGCTGCTGCGCAGGACCCCTGAGTCTCACCCCTTCATACAGACACCCATAAAGTAGTCTTGAAGGATGATCCGCAGTGTTCCCTCTAAGCTGAGTTAGTGTGAGCTAGCTCACAGTTTTTCAGCCTCCAGCTCACACA